TCATAACTGATGTTGCAACAACATTATGGGAAGCCACCATCAGAGTTAAGTAAGGGGTTATTTTGTTAGTCGATTGATGTTAAGTCTGGTTCAGGAAAAGTGATCGGTCAGTTTAGCCTTGATGTCATTGGCTGTAAGACTGAAATAGCAGAAGTTGCTAGTGATTGGTTAGTTTCAATTCTTTGGTAATGTTCGGTCATCATGTTCAATTCTTTTGTGAACACGATAACAACTACAATGTATTCTTACTTGAAGATTAGACTACACAATCAAATATATGGTTGGTAGGTACAAAAGTAAGATCAATTAAGACAGCTTGAGATTATCTGACAGGAGGTCTGGCACTTTTTTCCCTCAGTTGGTGTTCTACCTCGAAGCTTGTGAGTCAGGGTCCATGTTTTACAAGAAGCTCAAGAACAACATAGACAGTATGTGTGCCTTCTATTTCCTAGGCAAAATGCATTTTGCAGGAAAATTTTTATCATAGAGAAAATTTAAACTAACAAGAAAATAAATGAAGTTTTGTTAGTGCGAGGTTCTTGTTGGAGTCATTGGTGGAAACCTCATCTTTGAAACACTATACTTATTTTCTTTTTAAGAATTTTATCCTTCATTATGTGTTGTACTTTGGAGGGGAGGGGTAGGACAGGAATAGTTATGCGATGAAGATAAGGAGAAAAAAAGTTGAAATGGAACATTCAGTTCTCAAGCAACAAGATGTATCTTAAAGACGCCATAAAAATCTAGCACAAGAGAATTTTTTTTTTTTAGAGTTTCATACCTCTCAAGGCTGATTCTTAACCCTTTACCTCCCATGAGTGACCAGGAGAGAATTTCTCCCCACAATATCAAGACAGTATCAAGCAGACAAGTGATGAGAATAAAGAAAATATAAATTATGGGATTATTAGTTGTTCCAATACCAAATGCTCCATTTACATTATAAGAATTGGCAGTAAGTAAGGGGAAAAACCAATGAGGTCTGAGGGGTTAAAGATTTAAACGGGCTTTTTAAGGGTTTTATCACTTATTTTGATTAACGACTGATATATGTGATTGTCGGGATCTTTTTTTTCCAGTCTATGCAACTACTGCTGCCAATCCTGATGAATCTTCCTATGCTTGCTACTACGATAAGAAAAGGCAAACGTACCTTGGGGATGTGTACTCTGTGAAGTGGATGGAAAACTCTGATGCGGTATGTGACATGATTTACTTCTCGTTTATTTTTGCAATGCTGAGTTCTTTCAAAAGTCGTTCGTTCTTTTAGTAATGGTAATTCCGGACCATGGATTAGTAGATGGACTAGTATCTGTTTGACTTCATATCGATTTGCAGGTTGATCTGACTAAGGAGACACTCATGAAGCAATTCCAAATTGTGAAAGAAGAGACGAACACTAGTCATGTGATGCAGTATGGAGACATGGTATATTTATTTTATATGAAATGAATACGACCCCCTACCCCGTCATCTTTCCCTGACTATTCAGCAGTACCTATTTATACTCCTGTGTGTATGGTGAGGGTAAAGTGTCTTGTCTAAGAGCACAAGACAATGACCCGTTTACGTCTCGAACCTGCTAAATAGTAATACAGTTCAATCAATAAGAGCATTTCCTCTGTAAGAGAGGAAAGAAATAGAATCATAAACTTAGCACATAGCTTCTCCAGTGTGGAATTCTCGAGCCCTTCCGGTAAATGTGCGCTCATTCTAGCTCTGTTCAGGCTGCAGGGCGTGAAATTAACTTTTTTTTCTGATAGCCACTTGGCTCCTAAATTCTTCAAAGTGGTAGCCAATTCAAAAAAAGTTGGTCGCCATTTTCAAAGACAATTAAAATCTTTCTTTACGCAGTCAGCGTTCTAGATAGACCCTCCAAAATTAAGTTAGGGAAAAGATCTTTAACGTGCTACAAAGTGGACACTAGGAGGTATGATATACAACGTTCAGGCTCATCTAAATCCAAGATGGCGTCTAGTTATCGATCGAGATGCATGTGCAACGTTTTGGAAACAAACTTAACGAGGAAGTTTGCCGCGGATTTATCTTTGCAAATTTATTTAATTCACTATATCTCTTGGTAAGGTTATGATGAAACGTTGTAGTCGCTAATTTGGCGACTAACTTTCACGATTTGGTCGCCAAAGTGAAAAATTTAGTCGCATTGGCGCCTGTATTAGGCGCAATTTCACGCCCTGGGCTGTAAGTGATAAAGATGCATCTATACATGTGTACATGCCTTTTGACAGTAAGATGAAGCTAACATGATTAAGCGCATTTTTTCTCTGACAGGATTATGTTAATAATGACCTGGACGAGTTCCAAGGTGACGGCATGGGAAGTGTTTCCGGAAAATCTCCGGAGGAGTATCGTGGGGAACAAATTGTAAGAGCTACTTGTAGTTAGGCCACTCTACTAAATACTGTTCTGTTCATTGGTATTGCAGGTTACGTTTTACTTCATGCAAATGATTCTTTTTTTTTTCTGCTGGCTCAGCCTTACCGGGGCGTTGTAATTGAAGTCTCTTTTGTAAAACATTCGAATGTTGGGTACGTTTGCGAGTGCAAGAGCGTATTATACGGTGTCTTTTGTCAAGAAATCCCAAATGAATCAGATATTATTTAGGGAAAGAGGGGATAAGTTTTTCAATAAAAAAAATTACACGGGAAATACTTTATTTTAAACTAAAGTTAACATCGCTGTCATTTATACAAGTACGCTGAACTTGTATGGTATGCTGAGGGGAATAAGATCATTTGAAGAAGCTTACATCAAGAAATACTCAAATCTGCATGGATATTAAAGATTAGTGTATAGTAAAACAGTGGATAGCGTCGAAGGCGCGCTCTGATTGGCTACTCCAACTCCGAATATCCTTTGTCAGCATAGATATACTAAACAGTGGATAGCGTCGAGGCTACTCGAACTCCGAATATCCTTCGCTATTCACCCCCGAGCAACTCACTTGGGATTTGCGTCCGAAAATGTTGTAATCGTTTCAGGAATAAGCGCGTTAAAATCATCTTTTTGAGCTGCTATATCACTGTTTTAGTATATACTTAAACAACTGTTCACCCCAGTGTCGGTGGCTAGCCGTGGTTATTTACCTCGCTGCTTCGCGGCTCGGTTTATATCCACCCCGAGCCACCTCCACTCCGTTGTAGTTGTGAATTATTATGATATTCTCCGAAACGGTCTTGTTCTGACTGTAATCAGAGTTAATCATTATGCCTATTGAGCCGTGGAAAATGATATAAGCATGTTACGCTGTAAATTCGTTTCAAACGTGGGTATAATTTGGCCATTACCCCATCCTCTGTCAATTACTGTGCTCAGTCTTTTCTAGAACGCAAGTAATTGAATTTCAGAGTTTATATTTCGTCAGCATATTTTTAAATTAAACTAAACGGGTTGCAAACGACGAACTAAAGGAAGTACGCTTATTTTTCAAGATCCTGTCTCCTTTACAGGTCTGTTAATTTGGAACAGGCGAACAACTCTGATAAAGAATTTCACAAAAGGAATAACTCTAACTTGTTGGGTTACATTTATTTGCAGACCGATGCCATTCCTTCACCAGATGTCGAGCTGAATATCCTTCACCATCGCCTAAAGGATAGCGCGAGCCTGGCCGAAAGACGAGAAATCGCTCGTGAAATCGAAGAGTTGCTTAAGGTAGAATATGACTGTTGTTGTTGTTGTTTTGTCTTTTTTTTTAACATAATTGTTTTAAATGTTTCTTTTGACTTGACTTGCCTTGTGAACTCCAAAGTCATTTAGAGTGTTTTTTTGGAGATTACGTTAGGGTTTTCACGGGTTATCAGCATGTAAGATAGAAGTAGAACTATTTTCCTGGAATTTTGGAATGACCCTTGACAACAGCCTCACCGTCTACTTTACTCTGCTGTAAGGAAAAATTCTTCTTACGTAGAGGCCCACAATCGGGTCGCACTCAAAGATTTTGATGGAAAGAGGAAGTTTGATGTTTCAGTGTGTAAGAGCGTTTAGTTTAGTGTGCAGCAGAACTGCAGTGCTACTCCCAAACGCAAAAATTCTCGTGTTGCTTATCCAAATAGATCAGGCTCCACACACTAACA